TAGAAACAATAAAAGATACTTAAACAAACGGATTAAAATGGTAAATTTAAATATTAACAAATAAATATTATAAATTCCTTGATATCAATGTATTCTATCGAGTATGATTATTGTTCAAGATTTGTTTACTAAAAAAGACTTACTGAACATGATTTAATCTTTTATTTTTGATGTAAATCCAATTATGACCTTTCAAATTTTAATATTAAATGCGACTAGAAATTTTACGACGATTTTTGATCCTAGAGCAGAATACATATAGGTTTATAGACAAAGACATATTCTATTCAATGGTGGATATAAAATTCCATTCTATTGCATTCGGTGAGAAGAAATTTCATTAGATATTGAATATTTTAAAGTTAGTTCCTCTAATCATCCGTTATAAATCAATAAATAGTTAAAAATTAAAGAAAAACAAAAAATTGTCAATAAAAATAGAACTCATCATTTCTAATTTTATCACGATGCGTTGTGTTCATTACTTTCATGTACGTGATGCAAAAGAATATGAAACATTTATAAATAGCATGTTATTCTCAAAAAAAGTACTTTAATAAATATTAATAGAATATCTCTCTTTCGATATCTAAATAAAGGAAGTAACATTTCTATGGTAGGAACGTGCTCATTACAGTTTCTATGAATATCATTATAAACGGCTTTCACGATACAAAAAATATGCATAATCATCAAAGCAAACAAACTGTAATAATCGTTGTTTGATAAAACGGCAAACTCAACTTATCGTTCAAGGTTTTTCAAAGAAAAAGAAAATAGAAATAACTACAATTTGATCTATATATCAAAATTAGTGACTATCCATTTTGTCATACTTTTTGATAATTATGTTTCGGTATAGTCAAACAAATATCTGAATATTTAACAGAAAGTGAATTTATCCAAAATCCTATCAAATCACTAACTTTAAATAAAGCTTTTAAAGTTTACACAAAAATGTTTGAAATAAAAGGCATATTAACTCAATACAGAGTAATCTGTAGTTTTCAAATATTAATTGCAAAGGATTCTATTTCAACATTAGAGACAACTACTCCCATGCTAATTATGATACTTATTTTATATAAAATATTCATCTGACAGTTACAATAATTAGTTTTTCTGTTTTGATGATGTTCTGTTTGCAACATTCAAGATAATAATTTATCTCAATCAATGTTTCAACTGAAAAGAAGTTCTTTGTTGTAAAGATGAATTCTTACATTTCTAAAGTTTGTAAAAACTGATTTACAGGACTAGAATTTATCTACTGATATAATGAAACGAGAAACATCTATTCTATATATCAATCTTTGTGACCAAAAAAGACTCTTATTGGACTCAAGTTAACCAGAAGACATTTCGAACACAAAGCGATAATTTTTATTCATTTGAATATTCTTTTCATAGGTTTTCTTATGTTCAACATCGATATATGTCACTTTGTTTTGAATAACAACAAGAATAAATGATAGTCATCAGACAAAATTAAGTATTCATTTGACAGGCAAATAAAACGATAGAAAAAGAATCTTTTTGTCTTTCATCATATTTCGAAAACTAACTTATTCGTTAAAAAATGAAAACAATAGTAACATAATGAAAAGCTAAACTACGATCTGACATCTTCAAATCATCTTCGATTCTTGTCAAACCTGTGAGAAATATATACTTGTTAGTGAATTTAAATATTCATTAAGGTAATGTTTTCATGATAACTCTTTAGAAAAACAAGATGACACAAAAGACATATTACTATCTTAAAGTCTAGTCTCACGAGGAAATCCATCCGATTAGTAATCTTCGTTTAATCTAATATTTTGTTTATAGTGTAGATAAAAACCCTAAATAGGTTCGTGCCATTCAGCATTTTTTCTTGAGTCAGGGTCATTTCAGCGTATTTCAGAATATCATGAGAAATCGAAACAACGAGTTTCGGTCTGCAATTATTCCAAACAATAACTCTCAAGTGCTTACGATATTCTGAAAGTTTTAAGAAAAATTACTTTCATATAAGAGTTTCAAAGATAATCTAGTTTTAGGGCATATGATGTCAAGAAATCATCCGTTTCAATTAAAGCTTTCAGAATACCATAAGGATCATTAAAACTATTGCTATGAAAAAAATATCCAATGGCGCGAATGCTTTAAGACTTTATATCTAAACTATGAGCAAAATATGAGCTTAAATGGACATTATTAGTCGAATGGATTCTCTCGTTAGCGACAAAAACAAACGACAACATTTTCTTTAGGCCGAGAAAATTTTCTTGGAACGCCAGTGTCTGTGACTGTAATTCTTTATTTTACAATAGTTGCTACATTTAGAGAAACAAAAATCGTAGTTTTTTTGTGAAAATAGGACTTTGATATGGATTATTATATTACTAGTTTAAGTTCTTTGTTGATTGAAGTCACTGAGTTATGAGAATGCTTACCGTTGTCAATCGTTATGTTGACATCTTCAAGTAAAAGCCTTGTAAGAAACCTTATTCTCAAGATATAATTGTTTGCATGGTAGACTTCGTTTATAGAATTTTAATTATTGATTAAACGTGAATGCCCTTCAAATCTCTTATGACTCATATTAAGTTTTTCACCTCTGGTTTTCTTAGAGACCATTATACAACCAAAGATCGTTGTTAAGATTTTAAGAATTGAGAATCAATTAGTATTTATATAAGAATATTTTAACTATTCCTATTTAGATTAATGAACAATTCAATAACGTCTTGTCCATGAAAATAATTCATAAGTTTAATGATCTGATCTACTAAGTTTTTATACTGTGTTTTGGCTTATATCTTTCTAAAAACAATTGTTTCTTCAAGTATTGAGGCACTTAACAAAGTTGTACTCTTGAAAAAGAAACACATTGTTAAAGTATATCCATCATTTTTAGCTGGTCTTTTATACGTAATTCAGAAGTATTCATAGCGAAACCAAAGCTATTTAATTTTTTTCCGGTTTTTTTCAAGCACTGAAATAAGAAATTTTGAGTTACACGAAAACAATCGTGTTGTGCACATTTGTTATATCTTCAGAAGATCTGAATGATCTAATATGTATCTGAAAATCAGAACTTAATTAATACATCATGTTCTGTTCATCATATGTTAGTTGTTAGAAATCGAGCCATCATCCTTGATATCTTAAATATAATCTTTTATCTGCGTAAAAATCTGAAACTGCGTTATGTAGAATATTGAACAACGTGTTCTAGCTATTCACATTTCAAGGAATGTTCTACAACCTTCTAGTACTTATTATTCATGTCGTTCAGCGTCTTTAATTCCGGTTTTGAATGTCTGTAATGGAGAGAGGCAAGTCATAAAACTTCGATTTAAAACTTACATTAATTATTTGCTTCGAAAATATATGTGAGTTTCACAAAAGTCACATAAAATAAAAGAAAAACAATTGAGTATACTTTTCTATATTTCAGATTCTTCGTTTGAGACAATTCATCAAATTTTTCGTTACTGAGTAATAACTAAGAATTCTTTAATATGTTATTAAATGCAGAATTTGCCTAGCTACATTTTAATGAAAAAACCACAAATTCTTATATAAAAATAGTAATTATATATCAATATCAGACATTAATATCCAAACAAATGACGTAATATACAAGTGAAAACAGAACCGATTAAAAACAAAGAAGTCAAAGTATTTTCTTTTTTTTCAGTCATTGTTTGACAGTAATACGAAAAAACAAGAGGATATTAGTTATACTTAAATCGGATACTTGAAAAGGAGAAAATAACTTAATTGCTTTCTTTTAAATTGTTTCTGCTTATACTTTTATGTGAACTCATTTTCTTGAATGTTGATGTCTTATAATAAAGTATCTCATTGAAATAAGAAACATTATCAAGTTTTTAACTTATTCATCAAAGTAATTATTATTAATCAACAAAATAAAAGAAGAGTACTTCATCATGTCAAATATCAGTTTTAAATGAAAATGATGTTCCTTATCGTTTAAAAAAAAGAACTCAATTATATAAAGACATTCTAAATAAAGAGGACTAACTCGTATGAAGAATAGAATTTACTTTTACAAATAAGTTCTCGCTGCTTTCTATGTAATTTTTAAATCAAATATTACTTATGTGTTTTGTTTTAAGAAATACTTTAGGTCACAATTTCCAGTCTTGATGCTATTATTTTCCATTCCATAATCTGAAAGTGTTATGACATATGAAAAGTACATTACACAAAGAACAACGAGTAGTACCTTTTTATAAGAGCAAATTCTATTCTTCAAGAGACGCTAGTTCTCCAAATTTATAGTTTTATTTTACAGCTGAACTTCGTTTCTTTTTGTCAAAGGTAATGAACATTACAGTCACTTTAAAAATCTATCTATTTTGAAACAATAATTAGATAATTTTGTGCATTTTTTATAGAACACTTAAAAGTTAAAAATTAAAATGAAATTTTTCAAAAGTTGTTTTTTTTTATCGAAATGTGACCCAGCAAATTCTGTACTGAATCATATATAAAACAATTTTCAACTATTGATGAATATTCAAATATGCTAAACTTTTTCCCGATGCAGAAAACTTTTTTCTGTAACAAAAATTGAAATAGTTTATCTCAAAAAAAAAAATTTCTCATCTTCAAGAACTATTGAAATCTCTATTTTTTATATTTTCAGTAAACTGTTCAAAACGGAGAGTCCGAAAAGCAGATATTGTGTTCAATGGTCTTTTTATTGCAGGACAGCATCATTAAAATTTGATTTTAATTTAAGTGTATTATTTTAATAATTAATTAATTTAATTCTTTCAATTAAATAATGTTTAATACCATAAAGTACTAAGATTATATCGATGACTTCATTATTAATCTTAGACTTATAGCGTGCAATGACTTTTTTCTAAAACGAACTCACATTTCCTATTATTCTATCAGAATTACTTAAAACAGAATATTCATGCCAGACAGTTTTTATTAGAAAAAATATTTTAATATAAATTATTTCTGTTTAAATCATGAACGGAAAAATACATCCAAAAGTAACAAATGTTACGATGAATCGAATTGGTGATGATACTGACAAAGTCATGATTATTCTTGGTATTAGTTTATATATATTAGGTTTAATTGGGAATGTATTAAATATTTGTGTTTTCTCATTATGATCTCGTTCAGAAAGAAAAGTCAATGGAAATATTCTTATTAATCGAACAAATAATAGTTCTCTGTATTTACTAACATCATCTTGTGCTAATCTAATACAAATTTTCTATCCACTTTTGATTAATATTATATTTGATGGTTTTCAATATCCCAAAACAAATGATAATGTATTTTTAACATGTAAATTACCATATTATATATTATATACAAGTGATCTTGTATCATTAACATGTATATGTTTAGCTATATTGGATAGATATGTGATATCATCAAGAGAAGTGCGTTTACGAAGATTAAGTATAAAAAGACATGTAACGAAAAAAATAATTTTTTCAATCATTTGCATATTTGCATTACATAATATTCCAATTATAATTTATTATGAAGTTTCACCAATTGGTAATTGTAAAATTTCTTCAAGAATATATTCATATTATTATTTGGGTGTTTTTCAAATATTTTTTCATGGAATTTTTTTAATATGTTTTCTTTCAATATTTAGTCGATTGATTTATAAACAATTAAAAATGACTCAACAAATAAGTTATCTACGAAATTTCAATAGTGATAAACAATTATCACGAATGCTTTTATTATTATGTATCACTATATTAATGGCATCAATTCCATATTCTATGGAAAATATTTATTCAGTATTCTTTATTGATTTTACTCAAAAACTATCATCATATGCTCGAGTATTTAATTATACATCAATTATTTTATTTTTTACAGATGAAGTATTGAGTTTCTATGTTTGTTTTTCTTTCAACACCAAATTTTCGCCAAGAAGTTAAAAAGATTATTCTATGTAAAAATTGTGATTATCCTTTACAAAATAATCAAATTTATCCAACAAATTATAGATTGAATGTTCACTAAAGACTCGAAATTAAATTATGTCAATATGACTTTGTATGTTGTTAAACTTATTAAAATAAATGTCAAGATGAATAAAAGATTCTGTCGGTCTTGATGATCGACTTCGCACCAGCAAATCATATGTGTTCTTGCAAAACAACTCGTGATGCATCAAATGATGTATAACAAAAAATCGAGTTTTCTTCGAATTTCGATATATGGGGGCGTCCAAACAGTGATTATGATGCTTAAAGAATAGAATATGATACTCATAAGCATTATGTTCCTTAGAGTATTGTAAGATAAATATATGGAATTTTTTTAATAATCAGTTTGGTATATTTTCAGAGTTCTTTAGTTTTCTGTATTCAACGAATTCAAATATGACCAATTGCTATTGCCCTAGACTATTCGTGTGACTAAATGTCATTAGTGTGTGCTCAATTTTGTATTATAGAACAAGTGACTATCAGTGTGAAACCTCTTCAAAAACTGCATACTATCGAGTTTGATATGTTTTAGAATTCATCTCTTCTTCACATTTCATTACTTCCATTCAAAGATCCTGAAACCAAAAGAAATCTTTTTTCTGCTTAAAGGAACTATTTAGTATATAAATTAAATAGATATTCAGTGTTAATTTGCATCGTATAAAAATTTTTCTTGGTATTGTTCGATATTGTTAAAATATTGTAAATAAATTGTTTCTTTCAAATAAAAAAAACAACTCGTTTTACCGAACAATCATCTAGTACGACAATGAGCTTCGACTGCTCCGAAAGAGATTAATTTTGACAGTTGGTAGTAGATATTAAAGTAAGAAATGAAAAACTGCTATGAATAATATTGTACTAAGCTAGTTAATGACACCTCATTTAATTCAAGGTTTCGGCCCTCTCTGAAAACATAATCATGAATGATTTATTTTTCATGCCAAGCTGACAAAGATATTAATAAGAATAAATACAACAGATCTTTTTAAAGATTAACAAATTCATCATAATTACTGACATCTACTCTTCCTTGAGCAGCTGTTGACAATTATAATTAATTATTCATTTCAAAATGCTTCTATTATATTTATTGTTCTTATTAGTCTTCGTTGGTTTTGAATTAAATCATTTATCATCGACCAGTTCAGTGCAATTTTATTCGTGGAAGTTATTCACTTCCTACATAAACTCCTGATAATCGCCTGTTTTGTGACACAGAGTTGATCACACAGTAATGATATATAGTTACATAAATAGCCTATGATAATAGCAATAAGTCATTTTTAAGTATGAAGAAAGTATCAATGCACATTGTTGAATACAAAACAATGAAAGAATATCTGAGAATGTACCAAATTGATTATAAGAAAAAATATCATAAATTTATCTTACAACATTCTAGGAAACATAATGACTATGCGTATAATTTTCTATCACTCAAGCATAATAACGTGTTTGGGCTCTCATCATATCGAATTTGGAAAAAAGCTTGATTATTTATTATTCACTTGATGTGCCACGAGCTTTTTTACAAGCACGCATATGTATTTTTTGATATGAGATGCGTCATCAGAACCTGGCAGGATCTTTTTTTAATCTTTTGATTAATACAAATATTTTTTTTTATGAATAAATTTAAAACGAAATATGACCAATATAAGAATTAACTGTTGAGATGATGAATATAGTCTTTTTTTTTAAAGAATCATTCTTCAAGAGTTTTTACTAAAATTTTTTGTTCAGTACTGATAACACAAAGTTTTTAAGTAATAATAAATTAGTCAGAATCTATTTCTCATATCTATGAAAGACATGATAAATAATTAAACATACAATCAATGACCATGAATTTTTAACTAGATTACAAAGAATATCGAAATAAACTAACAATATACTTGTAACGATGGTTCTAGTATTTCAAATAAATATCTAATGAGTGGTTTGCATTGTAATGAAAGTTAAATTTTGAACTAACGTACGTATGCAATACAAGTTAATTATTTATCATGATACAATAGTTAGATCGATGACGCATACTCTATTACATAGTAGTGGTTTATATTTATCGTTGTTTTTCCATATTTTACCATTATACCATCGAATATACGAAAGAAAATATACAACACTAAATATAATGATGATGTCCAACAACACAGGTGATTGGTGTCAGTTGCTTATCAATAAAGTTGTATTCATAACTGGTGGTGCTGGCCATATTGCAAAAACTATAGCGAAGACATGTTATACTCATGGAGCTTGTCTTGTTTTAGGTGATTTAGATCCAGAAAAAACAAATAAAGTAAAAGATGAAATTGTTAATAACGAAAATAAGACAGATGACCGAATATTTGTTGTAAAACTCGATGTTACTGATGAAACAAGTATTCAACAAGCTGTTCAAGCAACATTAAATAAATGGAACACAATTCATGTTCTTCTTAATACGTAAGTTTCTTTTATAGAATATATTTCAAAAAAAAACTGCCATCTTTTTTCAGTGCAGCAATTGCAACTGTGGGTAATATTGAACAAGTATCAGCTGAAAGTTGGTCTCAAGTTTTTGATGTTAATGTACGTGGTTATGCATTAATGGCAAAATATATTGCACCTATATTAAAAAAACAACATAGCGGATCCATTGTAAATATATCCAGTACTTTAGGTTTAATTGCTATTCCTAATGCTGTTCCATATTCAGCAACAAAAGGTGCTATTATTCAATTAACACGAAATCTAGCTCTTGATTTAGGTTCATTTAATATTCGTGTCAATACTATTAGTCCAGGCTCTATTGATTCACCTGGTCGTGATGAATTTGCTCAAATGAACAATATGACAAAAGAACAAATGAATGATTTGTGTATTCAAGGAAGTTGCTTGAAGCGTATTGGTCAAGCACAAGATATTGCTAATTTGATTGTTTTTATAATATCTGATCTATGTCAATTTATGACGGGTGCTAATTTAGTTGTTGATGGTGGTAATTTTATTATATAAAATTATTAAAGTATTTATATTAATCAAGCTTTGAAACAAGAATTTTATCTTAGTATTGAAGTTGAAGAAAATCGAAAAAAAAATACAAACTAATTTTTATTAGTATACGTAAATAAAATGACGTCATTTGATTTCCATCTGAAATTTTTCACAGCACATATATTGAAAATATTAATGACTTACTTTTACATTTTTTTTAAATCAATGTTCGCTTGAAGTTAGTTTATTTCGAGTATATATTTTTTTTCTTTTGTAATACAGTTTTGTGTTCATTTATTTTGATTGAGAAAGCAATTTAACAAGACCTTCCAAATCCTATTAAAGCTGATTTTCTAATAAGAAAAATATTGGCGAGAATTCAATAGAAATACAGTAAATACATGATTGCAAATCTTTACTTTATCATGTATGTCATATCTCATGATTAATTATTTCGATTTTTTCAACTAAATCTGCAGAATAGAGACAAGAATGTTTTTTTTTATACAAGCCTTCACATTTTCGTTCTGCATCATTTACGTACCATGTGTTAGTAAAAGCCATGGTCTATGTTTGTTTTTTTTTGCAAACTAATCAAGGTTATCTTTAGATATTTTACTCATGACTTATAAAAACGTAAGTAAACAAGCCGATATCTAAACAATGATGTGTTCAAATATGGGCAATTGGAATACATTGTTAGCTGATAAAGTTGTGTTTCTGACTGGTGCAGCTGGATCAGTTGCTCGATATATTGCTCGTGCATGTTATGTTCATGGAGCTCGTCTAGTTTTAGGTGATTTAAATATAGATGATATTAATAAAGTCAAAGATGAAATTCTTGAAAATGAAAATAATAAAGATGATCGAATACTTGTTGTAAAACTTGATGTTACTAATGAGACAAGTATTCAACAAGCTATTCAAACAACATTAGATAAATGGAAAACAATACATGTTCTTCTTAATACGTGAGTTTTCTTTTGTATAGGATATATTTAAAAACCTCGGGTTTTTTTAGTGCAGCTACATATGTGTTGGGTAATGTCGAACAAGTATCCGCTGATAATTGGTCACATGTATTTGACGTCAATGTACGTGGTTATGCATTAATGGCAAAATATATTGCGCCTATATTAAAAAAACAGAATAGTGGATCCATTGTGAATATGGCTAGTGTATCTGGATTAGTTGCTTCTCCTGATTGGGTTCCATATTCTGCAACGAAAGGTGCTATTATTCAATTAACACGAAATCTAGCTCTTGATTTAGGTTCATTTAATATTCGAGTCAACTCTGTTAGTCCAAGTGGGATCAATACTCCTACAACATACGCAATTGGAGAGTCTGTAGGAATGAATAAAAATCAATTAGATGAAGTTATCAAAGGTAAATGTTTACAAAGAGTTTGTCAACCAGAAGAAGTTGCTAATTTATTTATATTCTTGGCTTCGGATTTATGTCCATTTATGACTGGTACTAATCTTGTTCTCGATGGTGGATCGACTATTGTTTAAAATTTGTTCAGACTAAACTTGAAAAATAAAAATGTATATCTAATATTATTTATTAAGAATTTTTATGTATCTTGTACTTTCTATTTCTTTGAATACACTGGTAACAAAAACAAAATGAATCATAGGTCAAGTTTTATTTTTAATTGTACTTTTAGAGATTAGCATTATCAATCATCTCTTTTTGTTGTAAAACTTAGAGAAATAAAATTAAAATAAATCTATCGTTTTCTATGAATTTTAGTGGCTTTTAGATCAATTTACGTGCACTAGAATGTTAAGAGTAAATATATTAGCTTGTAGAATTGCACTAAACCGATAGATAAAGGTAAAACAATGCAGGTCAATGTGAACACTTATACTTTTCTTCAATATATTTTCTTTATTGAGTCGAATCAAAAGTTAACAGCGAAACTTATGTATATCATTGAAATAAAATGGTTTTTTGAATGG